GTGATGTGATGTGATGTGATGTGATGTGATGTGATGTGATGTGATGTAGTGTAATGTAGTGTAGTGTAATGTAATGTAGTGTAGTGTAGTGTAATGTAATGTAAGTAAGTAAGTATGTATGTATTTATGGTAATGTAATGTAATGTATTGTATTGTATTGAAGTGTATTGTAGTGTATTGGATTGTAATGTCTTGGAATGGAATGCAATGTAATGTAATGTACAAAAATATACCTATTACATTTATACATGATTTTATACATAGATATTATACATGGACATTACACATATTTATTTATATCCCTACATACATATGATATAATATATATATAATATAGCATAATATGTGTGTATATATATGTATATGATATGTGTTAACTATATAATATTATATATATATATTACATAATCCCTCAAGCTCTTGTTTCTCTCTGCCGCCCCAACCACGATCAATCGGGATTACGAAATCACTATATATATATGTGTACTATAATATATAGTAGTAATGCCATATCTGTATAATATATGTTTGATATATCGATAGACAACATTATGTAACTAACACCCATCTTGAACCAAGTGACGAGTGCCCACCTTCATCATGAACGCAACTGTTTCCACCTGTTGCCTTCGTCGAAGATCAAGCCAGGTGGGGCAGCCTTTATCATAGCAGTCGAGGCCCCAAACCGAGAGGCGGGCATTGTCATCACCTTCGCTTTGTTGAATAAGCAAATTCCAGTCCTGAAAACAAGGAAATGCGTGAAAACTTTGGAAAGACGTGTTGAGGACTGCAATTTCAATCCATCTCCCTTCTTCAAAGCTGCCTTTCCAGTCAGTCATACTGGATAACGTATTTTTCTGAAAGCCCATGTCCTTCTGGTTAAAAGGCCGTAGCTCGAAAATGCATCCCATAATTTCAGCGATCAACACCATATCTTTGCCCCACTGCCCAATGCCTGTAACGTTCTGGTGGACGTGTCCTCGAGATCCAAAGAGTTGTTCCAAATCCGCAGCCCCAACACGACGGCACACGAAGACGCGATTTGGAAGGACCTTGATGACTTCATATTGGCAGCTGAGTCGAAACTTCGCCATGGTTTCTTTGTCTCCATAGTAAAAGTCTAGCATACAGAAGATCAACGTGCCAGCGAGCCCAATGATATTCAGCGGCACCGCCTGCGGGACCCAGCTGATGGCGCGCCAGATCACAAAGGCGATCCAGGCCAGTCGAGGGATGAGCAGCCAAAAGCGGAGTTCCTTGTAACGCTCGGGACTATTCAAGATCATCCCCGCCCGTTGCATGATCCAGGTCAAAACCACCGCCGCACCCACTGAGAGCTCGTCACAGGTCAAGGCACAGAAGAAGGAGGCCGGTACCAGTGCGACCAGTGGAGACCAACGACCTGCTGCTAGGTCCGCGTCCACCGCGGAGAAGTTCAAAATCTCCCGGATCACCCCGGTGTCGTCCGCGCTGGCGTCGATGTTCTTGTGGTGCCGATAGGATTCATGATACATCCAAGTACGGTAGAGCAATGGCACGGGTTTGAAAAGGTATCCTCAGTTCGTCCTTTCATCTCGTCCACCGTGGTGCGTTGTTCCAAACTGCCCACCGTGGGGAAGAATCACGGGGTACCCCGGGACCACTCCCACATGAACAATTACAATTCTAATTAAATTCTTATTGTTACTACTAGTAAGGCACTTGTTACTAATAGCTTCTTGTTACTGCTAGAAAGGCACTTGCTACTAGAAGCGATGAATCTCGTCTTGAGGTGCGTGAACAAACTGCCCACCGTGCTGGGGAAGAATCACGGTGTACCCCGGGACCACTCCCACATGAACAACTGAATCAAACGTTCTGCTGGGCGCAGGAGAAACAGTGACTGGCAACGCGGGGGGTTTTCGGTTGTCAATCCCCTGCCTGATGCACGATCAATCCCCTCCCAAAAAGAGAGATCACACAGGCAAAAAGATCCCAACCACCAGAGGCGGACCATCCAAATCTAGAACCCCCGTCAATAGCAATAGCTGACCCCATCGGGTGCCAACCCATGCCACCGGGTCTCGATCCTTCTTTAACTTCTCGATGGATCCCTCCACCGTGGGGCGTGTCCACAGATCCACAGCGTGGAAGTCAAAGCGGTTGTGACCGTCCTCAGAGGCGATCGACGGCCGATCGGCTCGCCGGCGTTCGAAGGGGGTCAAATGAAGCAAACATCACTCAGCTGACGCTGACGCTCTGACGACGTCTGACGGTGAGAAGGGAGGCAAGGCTGAGTCAAGACTAGTCAAGACCCATCTATCTATCTATCTATCTATCTATCTATCTATCTGTCTCTCTCTCTCTCTCTCTGTTTGGCCGGTGCCCATCCTTAATCCCCGGTCACCCGGTCACCGACCACGACACGAGCCACCGGCAGCTATCGGTTTGGCTGACCACCTGGAAGAAAAATCCCGAGTAAAAACTGGTGGAGTCGGCGCACTAAAATCGGATGGTCTGCCGAGTCCACCACACCCCTTGTTCTTCAGGGATGAAGATGCAGACCACTTACGAGTCCCCATCCACCATATGCCTTCTGTCTCGGATGCTTTTAGTCGGATGGTCGGGAATTCTTGTAATCCCGACTAAAGGCATCGGTCGCTGGGGGAACCGCCGAAGCTCGCATGTCTCCCGAGGGCACTGGCCTCACCTGGCTTGTGGGCCGATAGAACTCCAAAAAGAACCAAGCATGTTTTTTGAGTCTGTCCTATTACCATTAACAGTGGATGATGATGATGATGATGATGATGATGATGATGGTGATGGTGATGGTGATGGTGGTGATGGTGGTGATGGTGGTGATGGTGGTGATGGTGGTGATGGTGGTGATGGTGGTGATGGTGGTGATGGTGGTGGTGGTGCTGCTGCTGATGATGATGATGATGGTGATGGTGGTGATGGTGGTGATGGTGGTGATGGTGGTGATGGTGGTGGTGGTGGTGATGATGATGATGATGGTGATGGTGGTGATGGTGGTGATGGTGGTGATGGTGGTGATGGTGGTGGTGATGATGATGATGATGGTGGTGGTGGTGATGGTGGTGATGGTGGTGATGGTGATGGTGGTGATGGTGGTGATGGTGGTGATGGTGGTGATGGTGGTGGTGGTGCTGATGATGATGATGATGATGATGATGATGGTTGCTAAAGGCCTTTCTTCAAAATTGTGATAACTGTTCTGACTGTTACAGGTAATAGGACGGACCCAGCATGTTTTGGCGAAAAATACCATGGCTGGAGAGTGCGCCTTTCTCCCTACTTTAAGGGCCTCTTTTCGCCACTTCCAAGGGCGAAAGAGAAGCTGGGACTTATTATTTTTGCGCGATCCTTGCTTGGTTTTCACTGGCAGTTGAGCGGTGTAACCCACAATGAATGCACAGAAGTAGGTCTATAGCCGCTCTCTTCACTGCTGTTAGCTCGGCGTTTGTTCTGCACCCCAAAAAATCAACATCATCTGTCATTATGTCACACCATGTCAGACCCGTCATGCGTGGTCTTCCGCCAGCCGAGGTTCATAGACCAGTTTCACCTTGGCAGACATCGGATCTCGAAAGACCTTTCCAATGAACGAGGGCCCGTGGGGCCCCATCAGCGCTGGATCCGCGTCGCCCCAGGCCGCCAGGTCGGCCGTCGAGACCGCGGCGCCTTCGGAGAACGGTGGAGCGTGGAGCGCGGAGTTCGGTGAACCGAATGAAGAGTTCAGGGATGTGAAAGGAGTCCCAGCCAGCTTGGGTGGGCTGGGTTTCACGCCCGTCGTGGAGGGGAGGATGCAATAAAATGCAGGCTTGGCTGTGACTCCCAGCTAGAAACCAATAGGTTCATCTGAATCATTACTCCGACTCCCTGAGCGGAAAAAAGAAACTAGATACAACAACTGATAACTAGTATTAATGAGCAAAGTAATGCCAGCTGTCTTGCCCATGTCAAACAGTTTGTAGGTTGTTTACTATCATGGGGCGATGGCTTGAAACGATCGACTTTTCAAGCATCTGCAGGGCATATCATGCAGCTCGTGTCCCCCATGATAATCATTCTGTCGACTCGGACGAATACATTCAAAGCTGGGCAAGAATATATAGACCCACAAATAGATAGAAAAGTAGATCCCCACTTAAAATGTATTAAACCGTTTCTATCTATTTGTGGACTAATATACCAAAAAAACATCAACACAATACCAACTCGATTCATTCAACCCAAACGAACCAACGAACCATATAACCCTGCCACCCTGACACAAAGATATTCAGAAACAGCCCTGGTCGCATTCTGATAAAGCACAGACAAGGAGATACAACAAGATGGCATCCTCTTGACTTCTTGCTGACCAAATCAACTGGAAAGGCTGGCTGCACCAGTCACTTCCAAAATAAGAAACCAAAAAAGAAGAGAGGGTAGATTCCGGGTAGATCGGGGAACGATGAAAATAACAACAGATCTCACATCTCAGTGCAAGAACTCTTCCTTCAGAGACCTCCACAGACATGGTCAAGCAGCGGTATTTACGGCCCATCGCACCGTTCGTCTGCGGACCAAATGATCAAGTTCTCCAAAACATAACATAAAGGTGTTATTTGAAAAAGATTTGTCAAAGTTTACATGTCAAAATGAGTAGTCCCCTGTGTCAAAACAAATTTCCTGGAAGCCATGTTCAGCCCCCCATCAAACAAATGGAGCAGGGGTGGCATATGAAATAATTTGTTTCCACCACTGAGGGTCCCAGGCCCAATCTCTGGCGCATATCGGTTTTCCATTGTCCATGTTTTTGGTTTTCGAACATCCGGCGCGCATGTGTGGAGGAGGACTCCACACCTCCTGTCCGCATCATGGGATTCTTCCGAATGAACGTCACCCAGAAATTGCGTTCCACATTGTTTTCGTCTTCCAGGTCATCATCGCCAGCTGCATCGTGTCGATTTCCTGGACAAATGCACCCTAAACAAACCACGCCAGTCCATTCCCATCTACTCCTCCAACTTCGTGCGGCCACACCCAGAAAAGAAAAAAAAACAATGCCTTGCTCCCAAATCTGGTGTTGGTTTGTGGTGTGCGTGAGTGTTCGGGTTACGGGGTTACTTTTAACAAAAGCGCACTGTAAAATGGCAGCGCGGTAAAGTGCCAAGGACATAAATCCACCTCGAAAAACCGTAAGATACCGAGATCACCGGGTCTATCGCCACAAAAGGTGGCTTCATACATTTCTGTTAATGTATGCTGATATGGGGGAGGCAGGTGTTGAAAATGTATTTTTGAACAGGGGGTTTAACATAGAGAAATGGGTATGTTTCATGCTTCAATACAATATATACATGTTTTGTTCCCTCGGTGTTTCTGGAGACACCGTCTTAGGGATATGTATGAAAGGCAGGGGTTGTGGAGTCCGGCAGTCCAGCGTGGGCTTCAACAAACCAAGCGTCGCATCTTCTCAATCTCAAAGCTCGTGGGTTTGTACAACGCCGGGCGCCGACCATCCTTCAGCACCGCGGCGGCGGGCTCGGAGTCCTCCTCCTCCTCCGCCGCATGCGCCGGCTCCTGCGGCAGCGGTGGCGGCGCCGGCTGCGGCGGCGCCGGCGTTCGCTGCACTCCGTGCGCCATGGGCGGCGCTTCGGTGGGGCGATCGGAGCTGTGGCTGACAGGAAGCTGAAGTCTCTTTTGGGTGCCAAGCACAGGTTTTCTGATCAGCCCAAGATTCAAACTGAGCCAATAGTCCGATGCACAAAGATTGAAAACTGCTTGACTGACCGCTGATGCCATAGGCTTGCCCTGCGAACTGCATGTAGTTCTTTCAGCAATCCACGGACTGCTTTCAAGGTGAAAACCTTGCTCAGGGAAAAGGAGTTAGACCAGGAAAGAAGAAATAGCAACAACTCCCGAAGGCCAGAGAGCCGCTGGTGAGCACCAGCTCCATGTGGAATTTCTTCATCCTTTTTTCAGGCTCTCAAAATCTGCGCTGCGGCTGAACGCTGTGGCCCAGTTGGCTACACACTCACCGGCGGTCTTCGCCACTCTTTCGGCGAACCGCGGCCACTCCCCTCGGCGGACCGGGATCGGAACGACCCCGGTCGACTGCAACATCGACACCAAGCGTCCATGTGGTCCAAACAGCAGATTTAATAGCCCAAAGACCCAAAGATGATTCTCCTGGTGACGAAAAAAGTAAAAATTAAAAAAATGAACTCTCTTCCAAATCCAAATGGACTTAGTACGGCTGGTTGCCACATGCGCCATGGCCGATTCGAGGGTTTCTTCATCAGAACTTAATCCTAATTTTGGATGATCACAGTCACAGCCTGCAACAATGCGCATGCGTCTCTCAACCTGGGTGTTTCAGAAATGCTTCGAAACCAAGAACCTTGACCGTTCTGGACCATTCTGCTAGAACTCGTTTGAAACACCCATCTGATCGGCTGTACACGGATGCGCTCAGAGTCACCAACAAGTTTTCGGCGACTCCTTAGCAACCAAACAAAACATCCATGATATACATATATAAGTGATACGGGCCAACCAATGGGTGGCAGCCTGGTCTATCTTCCCTCCCAGACAAACAACACCACAACTCGTGCCCCTCCTACTGCTCTAGTATTGATCCGCAGTCATGTCTTGGCGGGAAAATGAACTGCTCGTGAAGAAAGACCTACAGAGTCGCAACTGTGCGCGCACTTTTGGCCAGCCAAAACCAAACACCAATACATATTATATATATAGTATATAAATTATATGGGAGTTGATCTAAATTCCTTTATCCGGGATCCGTCATTTTCGCCAAAAAAATTACTTTCGCCAAACTTTCGCCTTCCTGCGTTTTATCTTTCGCCGAAGTACGTTGTATTTATGTGTGCCATGTATGTTGTGTTTTGTTCACGTCAATGGCTTCTTCTTTGCTGGCAAACACAAAATAGAAACTTCACTGTTTGTCAGCATGTGTCTTCTACTTAACTGTTGACACCCTGTACGTCTCTTTTGTTTCTCCTGGGTGTCAGCAAGAATCAAAATTGCAAGAATCACTGTAGTAGCCGGTCACTCAAACTTACTCATAATGGGCTGGGGGTCAGATGTGGCAGGGTGAACTTTCGCCAATCTTGAGCTGAACTTTCGCCAACCTTTCGCCTTTTGCGGGGTAGAGTTTTGTGGAAAAGCCACCCCCCAAAGCAGGAGCAGGAATAGTAGTAGTAGTAGTAGTAGTAGTACTAGGAGTAGTAGTAGTAGTAGTGGTAGTGGTAGTGGTAGTGGTAGTGGTAGTGGTAGTGGTAGT